TGAGCCTGAGGCGAATAATTGTTTTAGTATAATTTCAGAACTGAATAACAGAGAATAACAGACTGAAACATAAAAACAGGGGCGCAAGTGTTCGTTTGCATACACGTATGCAGCCGTATAGTTTTAATAAGAAGCTTACATGTAAGTTTACATCGATGGTGAATCAGTTAACTCAGTGAGTTTGGCAGTAAAACAAACAAGCAAAACACTACGAAAAATAAATTCATCCGGTACCTTTTTTTACGGCTGTTGACTTCATCCACAGTTGTCATCATCGTCCTCAAAATGAGTAGCTTTAGTTTGGAGAAAAACAGATTTCGGTCAATCGATCTGACCTGCTGGCAATCAACTTGAACATAACCACTGCGTTTATGATTCTTAACTGCCTTGAACAGGAGTTCTTGAAAGGATTTTTGGTCCAAGGACGACAGCAGTCATTCTGAAAATTCTCCATCCTTTCAAATATCCTGGACTTAGAGTGATGTCTTCTGAATAGATGAAAAATTCATTCACCAACCGTCCACCATGTTTACTTGCCGAGATGGCAAAGGTGGCAAGCTTAGAAGCCAGGCCTAAAAAATGTTCATATAAATCATATAAGGGATCGCTGAACCAATCAGATTGCTGGAAACTCTTTGTTCAGCTCTGAAATTATACTAATGTTGAATACAAAACTGTGAGTAGGTGTCTTCTTTGCCAAACAGGCCAGGAAAAAATCACAACTAAATTGCTAGCGCAGCTGGAGAGAAGTAGACTATGAGTAGTCCCTCTTCCGCTTAATCCGTTATGTGTACATGGAAGAAAAACGCAAGAAAAAAATGCCCTCGCAAACTCCTAAGGGCAAGAAGCATGTGCCCGTCTCGCCCCCAGGATTTCACACAGCCATTTTTTTCTCGCGGTTTTCTTTCGCGTCATGCATGACAGACCAAGCAAAAGAGGGACTACTCGTAGTCTAGAGAGAATTCGACTCGGTGTGCTCTGATTGGGTTAACTCCCTCAATGGTGTACAGTCTGTTGTACCCTGGTCCCAGAGGTTTCGTTCTTACGTTGTTCTTCTGACGGGAAAAAACCGCTGCTGTCAGTTGGTGACAGTCACTGTATGATGATAGTGCAGACTGAACTGGGGACTGCAGGCTAATCCTAACCATAACCAAAATCTAACCAAGAACTAACCCAGGCCCCATAAAGTAAAGGTTGGTTTCCATGTGAGAGAGAACTAAAGTGTATTGCTGTGATCGCTACGATCGCTGGAGAGTGGTTTTCATATGATGAGATGATCCATTACAGCGATCTTAGAGATCTTAGCCTAGACTTCAACCCTAATACTAATGAAAAACTTTTGACTAGGGTGATCAAAAAGATTTTGAGGAGCTTGTATGTTGCGTGACCCAGCATAAATTTTACAACAGTCGTTTATTTCCAAATAATCATTAAGCTTAAAAATGGAAAACGTGTAGTCAGAAGATGTCATAAGGTCTATGGGAAAAGGTTTGCCACTGACTCTTGATGATTTTCAACACTCGTTTCGGCTAATGCTTAAGCCTTCATCTGATATGAAAACGAAATTTGTTGTCATACACTATTTAAAGTAACGTAATGCGAAGCTTGCGTGCGTGACCGTGTAATTCATGCTTGCGTGATGCTTTTGTAGGCTTCTGGAAGTATGATATGATTGTTCCCATTTCAACCACAACATGAACTTTGAAAACGTTCAGGTCGTTGGTTTCGAAGCTAATTACCACGAGTGACTTTTCCTCAAAGCTTGGCACTCTACTTTGGACCCGAACACTGACTGAAATGTCTGTTGAAAAATATCAAGAGTCAGTGGCAAACCTTTTCCATAGACCTTAATCATTAAGCTTATTTAGGTGGAACTCTTGAGTTGTTTTAGCCTGCGAACAGTCTCTCTTTTGAGTCACATGGGAGCGGCGAAGAGCAAAGCAATCTGGCGGGAAGGAGTCTGGTGAAGAGGCACCAAGAAAGTTTCTGGCCTCGCGGCTCGATTTCGAGCTCGCAATGTAGCCATGCGTGTTTGTGCTCCAATGTGAACCTGCTTGTAAGCTAGAGTTGTTTTGATGGCAAGTAGTAGCCTGTGTATACAGGCTCTTACTCTCTAGTCGAGGATGGGGCAGAGAGAAAGCTGGACAAAAGAGGAGAGAAGAGAGATTGGGGAAGCCGTGGTCAAATCCCCATTCGCTAACTACAAGCTAAGTAACGAGTTCTAGTAAAAAACTACGTGGTACTTTATGGGTAAATAACTATAATCAACTTAATTCCTATCAAATGGGACCAAATCCACATTTATTTCACTTCTCCTTTCCAATAAAATTATCCTAGTGAGTCGAGGCTTATTGCAAATGTGATGTATCGCTAGCACCACACATGAATTATCAAACAACTGGACCTAACATACTGCCTAAAATGAAAGCCCTGACTACTAAAAAAAAATTAAATTTGAAATTGTAATGTTTATTGTTCTTGTAACTTTCTGATGTTTATTTTTCAAGAGGAAGCTATAAGTTTCACGAAAGAACCAGACAACCCAAGTTACATCAAGAAGGGAAACAATGCCACCCTTGTATGGGACTACAGTGTTACTGATAGACAGACAGAGCTCAAGGGTATCATCTGGGCAGTGTACTTCAATAATCGGTTTACAAATTTGGTGGTAGAGTACAAGAATGGTGACAGAGCAATTTTGTCTGGGATACCATCAGCTTACATTGGACGAGTAGGCATTGAAGGAAGAGCTACTCTGGTAATTGGAAATGTCACCTTTCAAGATAGTACATCCTTCCGGTGCACTCTTAGAGCCGAACGAGCTGCAGGTCTTCAGGATCAGGTTAGCGGCATCAAGCTTATTGTGACAGGTATGGTTTAATGCTGTTATTTGAGACCCCTTCTGTGGGGAAAAAAGTAGGAATAAGTACTGGTAGGAAATTGTGAGTGAGACCCAGGCAAGATTCTGGCCATAAAATATCACTCTAATGAGAGAGACAGAACGTGACTACAATCAGGCTGACAGGAGCAATAAAACGTGAACGATAAATGAACAAGAAAGGAGCGAGACATTTGTACCGCCCTGAGATTTTGACAAAAATCCGAGCAAGAAACCAGCAAAATTTGGGCCGTAAAATAGTCATGCTAATGTGCGAGACTGGATGCGACAGCTGATAAACTCTTGAGTAGCTGGCATGAAAATGAATGGCTTTGTATAGTTTTTCTCTGTACAATGGCAATCATTACCCTCTACATATGACTACCTACGACTACCAGGGAAACATTGCAATAACAGAAAAAAGGAGTAATTTTTTTTCATTTTTTATATCTTTCTACAATTTAAGGTTTTGGTTAAATCACAATGGAAACTTTGATTAGTTACTCTGGGCGTGATCCAGTCAACTAAAATTTCCGGGCTGAGGGTCGAAAAGTTCTTGGTGTCGAATGGATCGCAATGGGTCTGGACGGTCCCATTCCATTCCACTCACAAAACGAGTTTTGTGCTCATTAAAATGGAGGATGTTGGATCACTGTTGCTCATATTAGAGCTAGATGATGATTTTGACAGTGATATCAATGATAATATGTGAGCTGTTTCACGTATAGTATTATTTTGAGTGGGCCGTTCCCAGGTATATGCCGTATCAGTTCAAACACCACTTTTAAATGACGAAAAGAAAGTTCCAAATTTTCTCTTGAAATAAATTGTCTTTAAGAGCTGTTAACAGCCAAAACATACACTTGGCTTGCAAAGCAGCTACAGACCTGTTGTAACTATGCATGGATGTACGAGTAACACCGATAGATCCGCTGTTAATGATCCATAAAAGCTGCAGTGATAAGTGTTTTCCTCCATGTTGTACATGGAAAATACCGAACAGCGAGGTACTGGGATTGAGAATGGGTGGGAATGGTGAAATGGAAGGGTCCATTTGGATCAGACCGGTCCAATTGAGATAAGTGGTCCACCTCGAAAGGTGAACCGATTTTTTTGAAACTTTTCTGGTTGGACCAAACCAATCCATTTAGTTTTAGACCAAAATTTCCAGAAATTTTGGTTGAATGGATCGTGCCCTCTTTGACTCGGTGGTGTGAGCTGTAATGAACTGAAAGTAACAAAAATCAAAATACAAGTCTCAACTAATCAAAGTAGAGTTCTACTTGGTAGCGATTTATACATGCAACAATTTGTTTATTAATCAAAATTTTTGGTGTGCTGATCTACTTGTGACTATGATCTAGCTAAAGGTTTAAGCTCACCTCAATCAATCCTTGGCTCCTTCCATTTCTTGTGGCAGTAAAATTACACTAGCTGCATATTAACTTGACTGCTGTCATTAAAAATCCCTTCATTTTAAAAATTGTCTATTGAAGAATATTGAAACCCTTTCTGCACAGACATGCCGCCATTACACATTCCAAAGACTGAAATTAAGCTGCTAGCGACATTATTTACAGACACTAAAGAAGATTGTCTCCAGGAAATTGGGAGAATTTTGAAGGAGTTGATCTTTTCCCGACACAAATACAGCACATGAAGACACAATGAGATTTTCCCGCTTTCAAATAAACAGTTGAGTTCTTATTTTTTATGTCAACGGGCACAACATACAGTAAATGAAAAGTATTGTAGTAAATGAATAGTATCAACATATATTAGGCAATGAAAAGCGTTGTGATGTGTTTATTTCGTGGAAAATTGTTAACGCCGCCCAAGACAGTAGAAAGTTAACCAAGGTAAAAGTTCATTTACCCTGTGATCAGGCATGGTTTAGGTCAGTGACCAAGGTCGAGATGACAGATATATCCACTTGCGGTTGCATGGTATTTTGCACCCTGTGCTGTCCAGATTGTGTCAGTCTCAGTTGGTCACGGTTTTGACAACGTTTGTTTTTGTGGCCAAAATGTAAGCCAAATCCGGACCAGCCACCCGGACAATATATTCGAACACACATCTAGATAGTCTGAAGTTCTCTTTTCATCATTTTTCAGCGAAATTTCCGTGCAAGAGGGTTTTAAACCAGAATTGGTTAGTGAAGTCATTAAAAATGCTTCCTCTCTCAGCCATTTCTGAAAGTTGCACAGTTGTGGAATTTGAACCGCCTGGTCACCTGGTTAAGTGAATGAAAACAAAAGTCACATTTAACTAGAGAATGTTGGTCTGTAAACAAACACCTAGAAAGAGTGTTCAGCTAGTTAATCAGCCTAGCTAATAACAGTATATTTATTTTACATGAATGTAAATGATTATGTTGTATGGGTCCCCTGTGGTCTGAGTTCATTGACAGTAAATTAAAAATAACAAACAACTTGGCATATATTGATGCAAAATTATGAAATTTTGCAAGCTAAAGCAAATTTCCCTTTATGCGAGAGAGAAGAATTTCATGAATACAAGCCAAATGAGGGCTTTAAAATTGTTTAGAGGCCAAACTTTAGGCTTGTTCCTTTGTTTATGTTTTGAATTCATGCTGAGTTTACAACAAAACATGAGATGTCATGCAAATGTATCTCATAGAATTCTTTTTTCGAGAAAACCCCATCACAAAATCCACTGTACCCGCAATGTTTGATTTTCAGTAAAATGGCAGAAATTTTACATATCAAATTGTAATACTGTGTCAATCGCTTTAGTTGTAATATTCTGAGTTTGAGTTTTCCAAAGAAAAAGAAAGAACATCTTTTCCAATGGCCCTTTAGAGCCTGAGTTACAAGTTTTCAAAAAGTTGTTTTAGTTCAGTTATGGTGGCTGGGGTGCAACATGAAAAACAGCAAGCAAAAATTAATAGGGTAGGGGTGCTTTCTCTCGCTTCACTTCTCTCCTAATTTTTTGCTTGCTGTTTTTCCCACTGAGCACGAACCAACTGAACACCTGGAAGAGGCTTTTTTCCACTGCACTGAAAATGTGAACACGTGTTTTCAGTATTATTTTCAAAGCGTGGCACTGAGATTTCCAGAACCATGATTTTAAATACAGTTTTTCTTTAAGAATGGACAAACATGGCTGTTTGAATCGGAAAGATTGAATGCTTGTTTTGAAAGAAAACAGTCATTCAGGTAGCTGTATAAAGTTCCTTCTGAACAGATAATCCCAGTGGTTTGGAAACCTGAATCCCATCAGATAGTTGGTTGGCCAATCGAACCGCTCATTAGTTTTGTGTGAACAGATAGCAGCAGCTGCTTGAACAGCTGAATATATATTTTTTCCAAACGGGTTACATTAGCTGTTCGAACGACCACAGTTTCTTTCAAACAGATAACCTCAGCCGTTCGAATGGATGACTATTTTTTTTCAAACAGATAACCTCAGCCATTCGAATGGATGAAGATTTTTTTCGAACCGATAACCTCAGCTGTTTGAATGGATGAAGATTTTGTTCAAATAGAGAGCAGCAGCCACTCGAACGACTGGAAATTTTTATGAACAGATGACCCAATCCATTTGAACGGTATCCCATCCATCATGAATGGATGACAAATGGATAGCAAATGGTAAGCGAACAGTTTTTAGCCGTTTGAATGGATACCCGTTAGTGTTCGCATGAGAGGGCGCATTTTAAGAACACATCTGGTTGAGTCATAAGGTGTTTGACTAAAAAGCAGTAGGTTACAGTAATTCTAACAAAAGGTGACAAACTGAATCAAAAAGATAAAGACAAAGTATTTTGGGTTACAGACATGGACCAAACTGTGAAACCCTCCCTTTAACACCATATTATATTGTAAATAGCTCTACTATTGCTTGTCTCACTATTCTTGGTGTTGTAAATATTATTGTTTTTTGTAATGAATTATTAGCATCATCATTTTTTTCTTTCTATTTTATCCCTGCCTTGTTGTAATATTAGCTTTTAACTTTGTTGTATATGTTTACATCTCTATTTATTAAGTTGCTTTTGCTTTATATTTTATATGTACATGAGTGTAATTCTTATTTTATCCTCTAGATAACTGCTTAATTTTTTTAGCGGTATGGTTGTTATAGGCAGCTAATACCGTACTTATAAGCTTGAAATTATTTTATTCTTCTTTCCTTTGTTTTTTTTGTTATGGTATAAACGAATATTGTCGTTGTTGGTAACGTTTGAGATAAGGATGACACATCAATGTTTTAGGCACTGTCACATCTCCCTATGTATTCTGTTACTGTTGTATTTTATGCTATTTGTTAACAATGCCAGTGAATGACAAATGATATACACTTTGACCTATGGATTACAAATTCAGTGCAGCGGCCTCGAAGTTGCCATGGTTTACATGCTGCTCATTTTCCAAGTTTAGTGGCTGATGCAACTTTATTCAAAACCATTTTAATTATTTTTGCAGATGCACCACAGATTATAATATCCCAAGTACAATCAAGTTACAATGAGGGATCAGCAGTCAATGTAATCTGTACAGCATCAGGGACACCACACCCAGATGTACAATGGCTCAGAAATGGAAAAGGGATAACTTCAGGGACAAAAGCAGCGTCCTTGATGTTCAGTAGTATAAACAGAACAGACGATGGACAGTATACTTGTAAAGCCACCAACTCAGCAGGAAGTGATGAAAATCAAGCAACACTGGTGGTTTACTGTAAGTAACGATACCTTTTTAGTGCAGAGGACACTTTTGGGATGGTTAAGGGGGCTGGCATCCGTGATAAGGGTTAAGACACTATGGCATTAACTTGAATAGCAAAGCTATTTTCAAATTGTTGATATGAAGGGGAAGGGGCAAAAATTCACTCCTTTGCTCCTTTGCTCCTTTTCTCATTCTTTCCTTTGCTTCTTGTTAACTTTTTTGTGATCCCGCTGACATTTATAAGGCTTTTGCAGATACTTGCAAAAGTATGGCATACAGGAGAGAAATTGAACTTGTTGAGGTGGAGGTCAGAATTTTCTCACCGAAAGATTTTTTAATGGCAATGTTTCTCACTTGTCCTTTATATTTCTGATGCAACTACTCAATATCTGACTGCAGAAACAATCTGCAGTAAGAAGATTTTCCCTTGAACATCTCTGTGAAGTCTATATACAAATAGTAGAAGCTAATAGAGGGTTTCCCACTTAATACAGGTGTGACTTAACTCAACACTGCACTTAGCAAGAAGACACTGAGAAGTAATATATCAAACACGAAAGACATTTCCAAACACCGAGAAGAGAGTTGAAAATGTGACGTGCAGCAGATTTTTTTTGACCAACTTCGAGTTGTTTGGAAATGTGGTCAACTACTGTCTTGAGTGTTTGATATATCTTCTCAATCGAGACTAAAACTAAGGAGAAAACAGAGGAATAAAATCTATGCTAATTAAGATCAGATATCGAAACACTGTCGTGGTCATGATTTCATTTGTTTAAACTTAATGAATTATTAATGAGTTTGAGAAAAAAATTGATGAGCTGTATGGATTTTTGCATGATCAAAACATTGATTGAAATTTTTAAGATGAGAAATGAACAGGATAATTGAGCAGAATTCAAATGCTGCTATTATTACTC